CACCATGACCAAGTAGGATTTATTCCAGGAATGCAAGGATGGTACAATATCCGCAAATCAATAAACGTGATACATCACATAAACAAACTGAAAGATAAAAATCATATAGTCATATCAATTGATGCAGAAAAAGCATTTGATAAAATCCAACACCCTTTCCTGATAAAAACTCTTAACAAGGTGGGAGTACAAGGATCATACCTCAACATAATAAAAGCTATATATGATAAACCCACAGCCAACATTATACTCAATGGGCAAAAACTAAAACCATTCCCTCTAAGAACAGGAACAAGACAGGGATGCCCACTCTCGCCACTCCTGTTTGACATAGTACTGGAAGTACTAGCCATTGCAATTAGACAAGAGGAGGAAATAAAAGGCATCCAAATTGGAAAAGAAGAAGTAAAGTTATCCTTATTTGCAGATGACATGATACTGTACATAAAAAACCCAAAAGACTCCATTAAAAAACTAATTGACTTAATAAATGAATTTGGCAATGTAGCAGGATACAAAATTAATGCCAAGAAATCCACGGCATTTCTATACACCAACAGCGAAACTATAGAAATAGAGATTAAAAAAGCAATTCCATTTACCATCGCACCAAAAAAATTAAGGTACCTAGGAATAAATTTAACTAAGGAAGTAAAGGACCTATATGCAGAAAACTACATGACACTGAAAAAAGAGATAGAGGAAGATGTAAAGAGATGGAAGAATATACCATGTTCATGGATCGGTAGAATCAACATCATCAAAATGTCCATACTTCCTAAAGCAATCTATAGGTTCAATGCACTCCCCATTAAAATACCAACGGCATATTTCACCGACCTAGAAAGAACTCTCCAAAAGTTCATTTGGAACAATAAAAGACCCCGAATAGCCACAGCAATCCTGAGAAAGAAGGGTAAAGTAGGAGGGATCTCAATACCAGACTTCAAACTGTATTACAAAGCCACTGTTCTCAAAACAGCCTGGTACTGGCACAAGAACAGACATATAGATCAATGGAATAGAATCGAGAACCCAGATATCAACCCAAATCACTATGCTCAATTAATATTTGACAAAGGAGGCACGAATATACAATGGAGTCAAGACAGTTTCTTCAATAAATGGTGTTGGGAAAATTGGGTAGACACATGCAAAAGAATGAAACTAGATCACCAACTTACACCATACACAAAAATAAACTCAAAATGGATACAGGACTTAAACATCAGACGGGAAACCATAAAAATACTAGAAGCATCCGCAGGCAGCAAAATCTCAGACGTATGCCAAAAGAACTTCTTCACTGATACTGCCCCTAGGGCAATGGAAGCTAAAGAGAAAATAAACAAATGGGACTACATCAAAATAAAAAGTTTTTTTACAGCAAAAGAAACCATCAACAAAACAACAAGAAAGCCCACGGTATGGGAGAATATATTTGCAAATAATACCACGGATAAAGGTTTAATCTCCAACATCTACAGACAGCTGATACAACTAAATAAAAGGAAGATGAATGATCCAATTAAAAAATGGGCAATGGACCTAAATAGAATATTTACAAAAGAAGACAGAAAGAAGGCCAAAAGGCACATGAAAACATGCTCAAAGTCACTAATTATCCGAGAGATGCAAATCAAAACAACAATGCGGTACCATCTCACACCTGTCAGAATGGCCAACATCAACAAATCAACAAACGACAAGTGTTGGCGAGGTTGCGGAGAAAAAGGAACCCTCGTGCACTGCTGGTGGGAATGCAGACTGGTGCAACCACTGTGGAGAACAGTGTGGAGTTTCCTCAAAAAACTGAGAATGGAACTCCCATTTGACCCAGTAAGCCCACTTCTAGGAATATATCCCAAGAAACTAGAAACACCAATCAGAAAGGATATATGCACCCCTATGTTCATAGCAGCACAATCTACAATAGCCAGAATCTGGAAACAGCCTAGGTGCCCGTCAGCTGATGATTGGATCCAAAAACTTTGGTACATCTACACAATGGAATACTATGCTGCCATAAAAAAGAAGGATTTCTCATCATTTGCAGCAACCTGGATGGAATTGGAGAACATCATGCTGAGTGAAATAAGCCAATCAATGAAAGAGAAACACCACATGACCCCACTCATTTGTGGATAATAAAGATCATTATAAACTGATGAACCAAAAGATAGATATAGAGACAGTAAAGCAACAAGCAGATTGTCAAATTACAACGGGGAGGGGAGGAGGGTCTGGGGGAGACAATAAATCAACCCAAGGACTTGTATACCTGCATATAAGTACAACCAATGGACATAAAACTCTGGGGAGGGAGGGGATACATGGGAGGGAAGGAGGGGGGCAAAAAAAAAATCAATAAAATATGTAAAATAAAAAAAAAAATAAAAAAAAAAAAAATAAAAAAAATAAAAACTGTACAAAAACAATTGGGGGAGTCTGGAGACCACGGTTTGAATCTGCGCTCTACTACCGCGTCTGTGGCTTTTGGCACATTACTCATATTTTCCCAGCTCTCTCCTGGGGAAGTGAGCAGAGCAGGGGCTGTGCACCGGGGCCTGCTTCTGGCTTACATGCTCTGCTTAATGTAATCCTCATCATAACCCCTAAGAGGTAGAATTAGATCTACATCTACAAGTCAAGTCTCCTTCCATTCCCCATTTATCCCCCTGCACTCTCTTCCGCCTTCCCCACCCCCTTCCCCTCTGGTAATCACCACACCATTATCTGTGTCTATGAATTGTTTTCTTAACCCCTTCACCTTTTTTACCAGTCACCCTGAGAACATCTTTCAGAGCAAAAGAAACCATGGGTCATGCATTGTGTTCCATCCTCATGTATAATTAGTCTTATCTGGAATAGTTTCTCAGTCTTTCTTTGTGTATACACATTATAGAAATAGTACAGGTTAGGTATCTTGTGGAACATCCCAGGACACATTTGTGTGAAAGTGCCACAGGCATAATCATGACAAGGTGTAGGGTAGGACTGTTCTCAGGGTGCCAGGCTATAGTCTCAATCCCACATGTCCTTTCATATTTCAGTGATTCCCGGTGGACCCAGTCCTGGGGCATTTAGAGTTATCCCACAGCCCAAGGATGCTGACTTTCCTGCGACACACGGGGCAGTCTAGCCTCAGAAAGAATCGTCCTACCAACATCCTCCCTGCTAACAAAGAGTGGTCCAATCCCTGGACCACTCATCACAGCCAGTCTTCCTTGTGTTCTGTTTACTCAAATTCTGGCTTGGTTCTCTTCACCTTGACAGCCAATCCATTCATGTAATCACCACTGTCTTTTTAGTCCATGTCTACCCTGATAAATTAACTAGCATGCTTTCTAGCAAATAAAACAACCCGTCTTTATGGCCGATCTAGTTTAAACAAAGCTTCAACTTTTCGTTTATAATTTTTTTGTTCAGAAAACTCTCTTCCAGCACATTGGCTAAGAGCTCAGGACCTACGGTGAGACTCACCCTCTCATCTCAGTCCCTGTGGCTCTCCGTTCCTTCAGCTCTGCTCCTGACATCAGCACCAAGATGTTCCAAGGGTTTATGTGCCAAGCGTAAGAACTTCACATGTGCTATCTCCTTTAACCTTCACCCTACAGAGCGGGTACTCTTACCACCCCATTTTTACAAAGAGCCTGCCTCCGTGTGGTTAGTGACATGCTAAGGATGGCACAGGGGTTTTGTGGCAGAGCCTGTAGTCGGGCTCTAGGACGCATGCTGCCCTCACTGTCTGGATGTGGAAGGTCACACCCAGCAAAATAAAAAGCACAGGACAAGAGGGTCCTAGAAAATGCTCAACTCTAACCGCAGAGACCCAGAGGGAGGCTCTGAGGCTCCACCAGTTACCGCAGCTGAGGATGTTTCATTCTGTGCTTCCCACTGGCCGAAACGAAGGACAAAACTCATCAGATGCGATTCATTCTGGCCTGGAGGAAAATGCCCAGCAAGAGGTTTCCTGATCAAGAACACTAATTCCGTGGAGCTTTCTATGTAGGACTTTGATACTACATCAACAAAATGGCCTCACCCCTCCCTCCAATGAGTGAGCCAGAGATTCTCACAGACCTACAATAGGAGCCAATATGATGGTGCCCACGTATCCGCAGGTTGGCTGCGTGACGGATGGGCTCTGAGCCTAGAAGCCATTCTCTGCAATCGTTTCCACATCCTGGTGGCTTTCAAGTGCCTTTATTTTTGGGCAAATGGGGTTTTTGCTAAGATCTGTGATCATGCAGAGGCAGCCCCACAATCCATCCTCAGACAGTGACTGATCTGTGTCCCTTTCTGCCTCACCTCCAATGGCAAGGTGGACTTTTTGGGACACAGATGCTGGAGCAGAAATAGCCATGCAAAATTTGGTAGAAATGAACACCTCAGGCACCACATCCTCCTCCTTTTACTTTATAATGTATAGCTCAAAGCCGCATCCTCTCTCCATCTCTATATCCTGTTTAAGTCACTCAGTAGGAATCATCTTATTCTGGAATGTCTGAAGTTTGCTAACGAGCACAATGGTGATTTCATTACTGGACCTACCAAATGGACACACACAGCCCCACAACTAAATGAATCCCTTCAAGCACAGGTCTGAACACACAGACCTTCCACAGCCCCCGCAGGGCACAGGGCTTCTCAAAGACAAATATTTTCCTGTTCTCAATTTTACTTTTGATTAATCCTCATTCAGTCCTTGTTTAAGCAGATCTAAACCCCCTTCAAACTTCTCTTCTGTGTCTTAAAAACTGTATGATAAGCGTGATTCCTCTTCAGTCATCACCCATTCCTCCCTAGATAGCTGCATCCGAGTGGCAACAAGCTCCAGGAATAAAAGTGCAGGGACTCCTGTGTCGCCTTCCTTTTTTCTCAATAGCCTCCTGATAAATCAGGAAAAAAACACACAAATCTCCCAGGAATTCATGTCTGTGGCAGCACCTGGCTGCAAATTTGAAAGACGCGGAAATTAATCACTGTGTTTTTGTTAGACTCTTTCATAGGACTGGTGAACATCTTGACAGACATTATCTGGCGTTTCACTGGGGACTTCATGGCGCCTGACCTGGTGTGCCGCGTGGTCCGCTACCTGCAGGTATGTAGCATCTTCCCAACTGGATGAGTCAAACTGACACCAAAATCAGCTCAGGGATTCTTCCTGGGGAATCATTCAAACTCGTGCTCCCACACAGCACACTGCACTCCTCCTTCTAGTTGACAGGACAGGCAACGTTTAAAAGGTTTATTTGTTTGTTTGTTTGTTTGTTTGTTTGTTTTGCTAAAAATAAGACCTATATAAAACTCAATAAATTTTGGAGATTAACCCCTTACCAAAGATAATATTGGCAAATATATTCTCCCAGGCTGTGTACTCTCTTGTTTTGTTCATGGTTTCTTTTGCTGTGGAAAAAGCTTTTTCTTTTTTTTATGTAGGCCCATTTGTTTATTTTCTCGTTTCTATTGCCCTAGGAGATGTATTGGTAAAGATATTGCTACAACATATGCCTGATATTTTGCTGCCTATTGATTCTTCTAAGATTCCCGTCCTATGTTAAATCCTCTATTTCATTTTGAGTTTATCTTTGTGTGTGGTGTAAGTTGGTGGTCTAGTTTCTTTCTTTTCTTTTTTTTTTTTTTTTTTTTTTTTTTTGCATGCATGCATGCATGCATCAGTCTAATTTTCCCAACACCATTTATTGAAGAGATTGTCTTGATTCCATTGTATGCTCTTGCCGCCTTTGTCAAATATTAATTGAGCATAGTGGCTTGGGTCAACCTCTGGGTTCTCTGTTCTATTCCACTAGTCTATATGTCTGTTCTTGTGCCCAGTACCAAGCAATTTTGAGGAAAGTGGCTTTGTAACATAGCTTGATATCTGGTATTGTGATCCCTCAAACTTCGTTCTTTTTTCTCAGGATTGTTGTGGCTATTCAGGGTCTTTTTTTATTCCATATGAAGTTTTAGAGAGTTTGTTCTAGGTCTGTGAACTATTTGATAAGGGTTTAATCTCCAAAATTTATAGGAAACTCATAAACTTAACAACAACAAAAAAGATAAATGATCCAGTTAAAAAATGGACAAAAGACCTCAATAGACATTTTTGAAAGAGGACCTATAGAAGGCCAAGAGACATATGAAAACATGCTCAAAGTCACTAACCATCCGAGAGATGCAAATCAAAATGATAATGCAGTACCACCTTATACCTGTCAGAATGGCTATCACAACAAATCAGCAAACGACAAGTGCTGGCGAGGATGTGGAGGAAAAGGAACCCTCATACACTGCTGGTGGGAATGCAGACTAGTGCAACCACTGTGGAGAACAGTATGGAATTTCCTCAAAAAAATTAAAAATGGAACTCCCATTTGAACTAGTAATCTCACTTCTAGGATATATCCTAATAAATCAGAAACACCAATTAGAAAGGGTATATGCACCCCTAGGTTCATAGCTGCACAATTTACAATAACTAAGATTTGGAAACAGCCTAAGTGCCCATCAACAGATGAGTGGATTAGAAAACTATGGTACATCTACACAATGGAATATTATGCTGCTGTAAAAAAAAATAAAAAAAATACATGGAGAGCATTCACAACATGGAGAGCATTATGCTAATGAAATAAAACCCAAATAAGCAATAATAAAATTATCAAAATTCATAATTAAAGCATTAAATAAAATTTTCAGGAAAATGGTAAGGCTTTTGACATAGTCTGGTTGTCTCCATTCATCCAGGGTGTTATAACAAAAATATTACAGAGCAGGTGGCTTATAAACAAGCATTAAAAAAATTAAATATGTTATATGTTATTATTTATTTGAGAGGGAGGAGAGAGAGAGAGAGAAACACTGATGAGAGAGAAATTTCAATCAGTTGCCTCCCATATGTACCCTGCTTAGGGATGAAACCCACAACCTGAGTATGAGCCCTGACCGAAAATCAAAGCAGTGACCTTTGGGTACACAGGATGAAGCTCAGCTAACTGAACCACACCAGCCTGGACAAACAACAAACATTTATTTCTCACAGTTCTGGAGGCTAGAAGTCTGAGATCAATGTGCTAGCATAGCCCAGTGAAAGCCCTCTTTCAGGCTGCAGACTTCTGATTATGTCCTGGTGGTGGAAAGGGCAGCAGAGCTCTAAGGTCTGTTTTATGAGGGCACTAATTCCATCATAAGGGCTCCATGCTCATAACCTAATCACATCTCGTAGGTCCCGCCTATGAATACCATCAAGTTGGGCTTTAGGATTCTAATATGTGAATTTGGGGAAGATGCAAACACTCATACTATACATAGCACTAGTTAAGTAATCTCGAGAAATTTTTTCAATTTTTTTTTCTTTTTCTCCTCAAACTAACCCAACACTTGCTACTGTTGTTTTTGAAAAATTATGGCAGTTTTTAGAAAATAGCTATTCTCTTCAGTTGTTTTAACTTGTATGACTACCCAAATTCAACCTTTTACAATATCTGTTGGCATTTGAATTTCTTCTCTTAATTGCTATTATCCTTTTTTTTAATCTTTTATAACCAGCATACTTATTTTCTCAGTTATTGATAGTATCTATTTTTAGATTAAAGACATATTTTACTTTGCCTGTAGAATATGCTTCAATATAAAATATAATTATAAAAAAATATATATTGGGTGTAAAATATTACCTCTGTAACATATATATTTCATTACTAACACATCATCCATACATATATATAACATAGATTAAGATACAGCAATAAACACAATTGAACTTAGTATGGAAAGAATGGACCATTTTATAACTGGTGTTAGGACCAATGTGTTCTATTCCTGAGTTCTTAAAATGATTTCCTATTAATGTATTTTACTTTTGTTGCCAGGACTTCAGATTTAAGTTATTATAGCTTTACAGGTATAAGGCATTTCTGGGAAAATTTAATCTTGTTAGATTCCATTTGTTAGTATGACTTTCTTTTTAGAATCTTTGCATCTATATTCATAAGTGAGATTATGATTTTCAGTTGTTCGATCATTTTCAAATCTTGGTAATGGAATTATTCCACATTCAGAAAATAGAAAGTCATTACAATTAAACATCTCCTTTTGTGTTCAGCGCCTAACCTTGCGAGTTTAAATGTGAAAGAGCCCTGTTACTGTCTGGGGCTAGTATTTTCTCAGTGAAAATATTTAAAACATAGTTCTTAAGGATTTTTGCTTCCATGTTTCTTCTTGAGGATTGATCGAGTAAGCAGATAAATATTTTCAACTGCTTACTCTATCAATTGCTGAGAAACAAGTTACATCAATACTTGGTGGCCTAAAACAATAAACATTTAATATCTCACAGTTTCCTTAGTAGAGCATTCAGAAACAGCTTGGCCTGGCGGATCCAGCTAAAGGCTTATCACAGAGCTCCATCAGCTCTTGCCCAGGACTGCCATCATTGGGAGGTCTGGTCTGGACTACACAGATCAGTTAACTTTCAAGGTGGCTCACTCACGTGGCTGGCAAGTTAGTGCCAACTTTTGACAGAAGATTCAGGTCTTCTTCACCCGGGCCTCTCCACAAATATTCTTTAGTGGCCTCATGACCTAGCAGCCAGCTTTCCCAAGGATCAGCTACCCAAGTGACCATGGTAGAGGCACATGTTTTATGAACTCGTCTCAGAAATCATACATCATCACCTCCACATTATTCCATGGGTCACATGGTCAACCTTGATTCAGAATTGAAATAAAAGACCCACAAAGGAGCCAACCAGGAGGCAAGGATCATTGGGGATACCTTGGAGACTGCCACACTTCCCTTCACATTTTTCAAATACATGATAACCTATGTCTTTTCTAATTACTAACTGAAAAATGTCCTTTTGACCCAGAGTTATTCATGTCAATAATATTCCTTCTAATAAAATTATATAATAAGAGCCCAGTAACCTTTATGGTGGGCTGAATGACCAGAATGACTGGTCACTATGACACTCATTGACCACCAGGGACAGACGCTCAACACAGGAGCTGCCCTCTGGTGGTCAGGGCGCTCCCACAGCAGGCGTGCTGCTCAGCCAGAAGCCAGGCTCACGGCTGGTGAGCGCAGCAGCAGTGTTAGGAGCCTCTCTTGCCTTTGCAGCAGCACTAAGGAGATGTGAGCCAAGCAGTAAGGAGCGAGCATAGAAGCCGTTAGGAGCTAGCAGATGGACATTTAGGAACAAAGGGTCCCTAGTTGTGAGAGGGATGTCCCAGATTGTGAGAGGGCACAGGCTGAGCTGAGGGGTCTGCCCCCTCCCCCAGTGCATGAATTTCATGCACTGAGCCTCTAGTAAAAATGTATTTAGCCAAAACCGGTTTGGCTCAGTGGATAGAGCGTCAGCCTGAGGACTGATAGGTCCTGGGTTTGATTCCGGTCAAGGGCATGTACCTTGGTTGCGGACACATCCCGAGTTGGGGGGTATGTAGGAGGCAGCTGATCAATGTTTCTCTCACATTGATGTTTCTAACTCTCTATCTCTTTCCCTTCCTCTTTGTAAAAAATCAATAAAATATATATTTTTTTAAATGTATTTAAAAAAATAAACATAAGCTGACTTGCCTTTTGGTGGTGAACACACAATGCAATGTGCAGATGATGTATTATAGAATTGTACACCTGAAGCTTATATAATTTTATTAACCAAGGTTACCTCAATAAACGTAATAAAATTAAATATATATACACATATATGTATATGTATACGTATATGTATATATGTATACATACATACATGTGTGTATACATATACACATACGTATACATATATGTATGTATATGTATACATATGCGTGTGTGTATATATATACACACACATATATACACATATACATATATTTTTTTAATAAGCTTAATAATGAGATATTCGTAGGGGTTTAGAAAACTTCTGACAGAGCCCTGAGAATCTAGAAGACAAGGGCACACTCAGGATGATGCCTGTGCTTAGATATTCTTTGACTTCTCTCATCAGAGTTTTGTGATTTTGCAATGACTGCAAGACACACCAGTTCTAGGCATCTGTCCATTGATTGCGACACTTCTGTGCGGGATTTTGATAATGAGGGAGGCTGTGCCAAGTGAGGG